GACGGCATGCTAGAACGACCAAAGGAAAAGGACGAGCGCTGCCCCATGAGCACGGTTCCTACTCGGTTTCTTCACGCCCACCACCGACTGCGTCACGTTCGTCTTTGGCTTCTCGCCCAGTATCCCCCTCCAACTACACGACTTCCTCGCCTTATACGTCGCGCGGTCCTTCTCCTTCGCCATCCTTCCCCCGCTCGGGGGCTGTATCACCAAATAGCGAGTCGGAGTCAGACAATTCACTCTATGAACACCAGCACCATGTCAATCCCACTAGAAACCTCGACAAATTGGCCTCGCTAGCCCGCATGGCTCTTGCTGCTGCCGAAGACATGCGGAAGAAAGGACTCTCGCGGGAAGATGAACCACCGCTGCCAAAGTCTTTCCTCGCTGGGGTTGTCCTTGAACAGGGGAATCAGCGAAAGAAGAGACCGGATGCCAGCCCGAGTAAAAAGGCCAAGGCCAAGGAAACGGATGGGGAAGATGGGGAAGAGACTATGGTTATTCGTGCTTTGCCAGAGAGACGACTTGGGCAAATGACCGATGAGCCTTTGGTTCGGTCTCGATCGTGGATGGATACTGTGCTAGGCCCCACTGGCGCGCAATCACAATCACAGCCGCAGACCTCTCGTGTTGGAGTTGTCACAGATACGGAAAATCCGTTCGACAACGCCCAGTCAGGCATCAAGAGGACCAACTCTCAACCTCTGATCAATCACACCAACACCTATCGTCCAGACCCACCTAGACCTCTTGTATCCACTCATTCCGAGCCAACCCTGGAAACCGTTCTCGCCGCATACGACATGACCCCATCACGATCCCGCACTATGCGTATCAACATGACGCCTAGCAAGAACAGAATCCTTGGGACTCCTTCCCGTTCGCGGTTGTTCGGTACACCGAGTCGAACGGCGCGGATGAAGGAGGTCGACGAAGAGGACGAGAATCATGTCCCCAGTCAGGGGTTCGAGGCCTGGCTGGCTAGTCAGCAGATGTTGGTCCTGAAAGCGCTCCGGGACCCAGTTTGGGCTACGGCCCCAGCAGTTGACAACACCATTAAGGAGCCGCAGATTGCGGATAGGAAGGACGCCGGTGTTTGGGTAGAGGGTGAAAAGGACGAGACTGAGGCAGCGACCAAGTTGCGTGCTCTCCTGAGGCGTACGGTGGAAATGGGCGAGGGAAACAGTTGTTTACTGGTTGGCCCCCGAGGGAGTGGAAAGACGAGGGTATGTATGCGCGTCGGTTCAGTAGTATTCGCTAACTGTGATGTGCGCAGACCGTCAATCATGCTCTGCGTACCCTTATTCAATCGTCCGTTTGGAAGCCTACTCCTCGTCCGTCTACGCCTCCGCCTCCTACTTTCATTCCGGAAACACCTAGCAAGCATGGAGGGAAAATAAAACGCGGTGCTGGTAGGGCTTTCCAGCGTCCTCGGTCTCCTACGCCACCACGTCCAGCACCACGTCCAACAATCTCAACGCCGATCGTCATACGATTGTCGGGTCATGCTCAAACAAATGATCGACTGGCTATGCGGGAGATTGCGCGACAGCTGGTGCTTCAGAGCGGAGAAGCACTTCAGATCCCATTAGAGGATGACCAAGATGCGGAGGGTGGTCCGGCGGGTGTCCAAATGGTGAGTTAGCCTCGCCCATAATTTGTTTCCTTGATGGTTGAATATGATATCCTTAGCCAACTGCTACGCATTTGCCGCAAATTGTGGGGGCGCTGGCTCGACAGGTCAAGCCGGTTGTCGTTGTACTAGATGCATTTGACTTGTTTGCAGAGCACGCTCGACAGGCTTTACTATATTGCCTCCTTGATACAGTTCAGTCATGTAGAGCCGGGGAGGGTTCCCGTGGGTTGGCGGTAGTGGGAGTTACTAGTCGTATCGTAAGTTTGATTGATTTCTAAGCATTCTTATGAATGACCAAATGTTTAAATATACAGGATTGTCTGACCATGCTCGAAAAGCGAGTTAAATCGAGGTTTTCACATCGAATTATTCGAGTTTCGCCCCCGGCTACACTCAGCTCCTACATGAGTTTAGTTTACTCCACGATGGCTCTCCCGGAGGGAAGGGAAGTTTCTGGACTTCAATCTACTCCCAGGAAGAAAGGGAAACTGGTTGCTGGTGGAGCTGAATACGACACTTGGCGGGCGAGATGGAGGGAGGCTGTTGATGTCAGTCAAGCTTTAGCCATCTTCATATGCAAAACGTACTCACGGGTCTCAAATATAGCGAGTGCTCTCCGATAGACAATTTAGGCAGGTACTTGAAGATGCGTTTGAGTTATCGAGAGATGTTAGATTGCTATTGCGTATACTGGCAGGTGCACCTCAAGGTGTTTTTAGTTCTGTTCTAACAAATCTTTTTTGTTTTTAGTCCGGTGCTGTTGCAAATCTGACTCCAACGTCCCCTTGGTTGACTGTGGGAGGCATAGCTCGGAGCATACAAGCACAATGCATAACAGTCCCATTCGCTTTTCTCCAAGGTTGGTCAATTCCGGAACGTTTGCTTAAATTCGCTGATGAATTGTTCCTAGAACTGGCTTATCCTTGTGTTGCGCTTTTAGTTGCGATGCAGCACATCCATGATAGGGGCCACGACGTGTTTACGTTCAGGATGTTGTGCGCCGAAATCAAGAGGGAGCTGGGAAATGAGGCTGTCACCAAGGCACTGGTTCAAATGCAAGGCCGCGGGCTCGGCCTAAGACATGTTCCCGAACCGGTACTTGAAACTGTGGGTAGCGGGATTTGCACGATTGGACAACGGCTAACATATCTCCCACATCACTATCTGCTCCTCGACCCCATTCTTGCGCCTTTCTCTTCCAGGCATTCGAGAGTCTTGTGGCACATAAGGTCGTCGTGCTTGCAGGCCCCTTCTCGAACTCCACGGGACGCGTGTTCGTGAAGTATCGATGCGTTCCGGAGCGATCGGACGTCAAAGAGGCGGTAGAGAGGTTAGGGCATAGTGCATTGAAGAGATGGTTTGTCCAGGGCGCATCAAATTAGTTGGACGATGGATAGTCAGGGTTGAACGAGGTTGGCTATGCATGTATTTTATGTCACTGTTTGATTGAAATAACGTACAGTTTTCTCGGTGGCTCGAAAACACTAATATGTCTCACGCATATAATCAACAGGAAATATCAAACACGCAACCTCAAGGGAGATCAAAATCCATTAGCAGCTTGTAATCTGCAACGCGGCCAGGGGCCGAGGGACTATCAGGTTTTCGTTTCCTGTGTCCCAGAGTCGGCGGTCAGCGGAGGCCCCGATGTTTTTATAACATATCAGTTACTTACTTCTCTCCTGCAGCAAGGGATGGGAACGAGCCAAATAGTGAAGGGTGTTTCGGCAGTGGCGACTCGCTGCAGGCGTGCGATTAGGTTTCGAGATGCGGGCGATCTACAAAAAGGTACTCACGAGAAGTAAGGATGGTTCAATGCGTCTTCTGCACTAATGCGCTGTGCTGGGTCGTATGCCAACAAACTGGACAAGAGATCAAGCCCGGCTCGGGTAAGCTGAGGAAACCTTATTGGAAGAGTGGATGGACTAGCCCAACACAATCAAAAATCATTTCCAGAAGGACGGTATGCCGGACAAACGTACGTAGCTGCGGATATATTCACTGTTTTTGCCAATGGCAGCTTGGAAAATCCTGGCCACGAGGACTCGTCAGGATGTCCCAGAAGTTTGAAGATCTACAAGCAATTTAGACCACACCCCGAGTCAAAAAAGATCATCAGAGCGTACCATTGATAGGAGCTCCATTTCACCCTTGGCCTGAAAGAGGGGCTCGTGAAGGAGAAGTTCTCCAAATATACACCCTACAGACCACATATCCACGGCAGTCGAGTATGCAGTTTCCCCTAAGAGAAGCTCAGGTGCTCTAGAAATCCATTTAGTTCATGTGTCGGGTACTTGAGTGTAGAATGAGAACTAACCGGTACCAGAGAGTAACAACAAGCTGGGTCATATCGCCCAATGGGTCTCCAAATGTTCGAGCAAGCCCAAAATCGGCGACCTTGATTTGACCCCGGTTATTCATAAGTAAATTGCTTGTCTTGAGGTCGCGATGTAACACCCAATTCGTGTGACAGTGTGCAACAGCAGAAATGAGTTGTCTCAAAAGGGTTTTGATTTCGGATTGTAAGAAGGGTTTGGGCATCTGCGTGAGTAGTTGCTTGAGGTCGTGCTCGATGAAGTCCATGACGATGAAGACTCTGTCGAAGGGAATTGGATTGTGTGATAAGGCATTGATAGCTGGGGCGTACGTACTGAGTTAATGTTTCCCCAACAACAATTTCCCGTACTCCCACGACATGCTCATGTTTGCATACCATGAGTGCCATAACCTCTCGTAAACTTGTTATTGGGAACCCGTTTTTCTCCTCATCTAACTTCAGCTTCTTGAGTGCCACTATCTCGCCTGTTTCCTTGTCTCGAGCCCGAAAAACAACGCCATACGTTCCCTCTTCGATATGGTTGAGTCGCTCATAACAGTACACAGACCGGCACGGTTGTATCGCAGGGTGGGCAGTTCGGGGTGGGACGAAACGACTACGAGTGGAAATAGTTGGGCGAGGCGGAGAGTTCCCTGCTGGCCGTAGCGCTCGAGGTGTAATTTGTGGGATTGGTTCTTCTTCAGGCTCTCGAGACAAGGCAGGAACGTCAGGTGAAGGTTGGCGAACTCTAGCTGACTTTTTCGGGCGCTTTTTGGGTACGATATGAATAGGTGGTTCCTCCTCCACGTCGTCCCATTTTGACCGCTTAGGAGTAGGACTTTTTAAAGTTAGTGATGAAGGGCCTATTTCAAGTTTTCAGGTTAGTGACCGAGGGGTGTAAGGGTAAGTTTTGCTCACCAGCGCCAGGAGTTGCCATGAGAAGACTATGTGGAGGCAGAGCGTAAGTTGGCAACCTGGTCAGAATTGTCTCAAACTATTACAAATGTGGCAGGCAAATCAGGTGTAATTTGTCTTGATCTTAGCTAAGTTCCTATGGTCTAGTGGTTATGACGCTTCGTTGTGGTCAAATTAAGCTGCAATCCGAAGCAGCCCGTGTTCGATTCACGGTGGGGACAAATCCTTTTTTCCAGCTCAACACGAACCAACTCGATGCGCTTTCAACTAATATATGAACCACAATTCACATTCCTGGACATTCTGAACCGAACCCTTTCACGTTCCCCAGCTAATCGAATTTGACCTGACGTCAACGACTCTCAGCTGACTACGACTGTCGTCCATCAACTTCCTCGTTCGCGCGCCCAGAACGGATTTCGTCGACCCGCAATAGTTCTTACTTTATAAATACATGCACTGCGCCCACATGTCTACTCTTGATCTCCACCCCCCACAGCGAACCCCCACCTTACTACCTAAATAACTATGGCCTCCCTAGGATTCCTTCGTTCTGTGTCTGGCGTCGCACTGCGTCGAGCTTCTCCAACAGCACGCCAAGCTAGGAGCGCAATCCGCTTCGGTTCGTCGAGCGCCGTGGTGAGTGTGCCATGAGCTACTTTGATATATAGAGGGGGCATAATCCAATGCAATCTAACTCCAACATAGGCCTCGAGCCCAGTGCTGCCTGGTCTTCCGTCAGCGTGCAAGGAGCTGTTCGATGCCAAGGCCCGCAAAGGTCAGTTCTACCTTGAAGTAGCTTATATTCAACCTAATATGCTATTTTAAATGTGTAGGAATGAGCTTTGCTGAAGTTGGCAAGGCAATTGGAAAGGACGAGATATGGACTGCGGCGCTGTTCTACGGCTAGGTAAGTCCCACTCGCTCTTGCTGTACCTTCACGACATTAATCACCTCATAATGGCTCGATCTATTCAGGCTAAACCCGCACCGCAAGACCTTGCGAAACTTAGTGAAGCACTCGGAATATCGTCACAGTCCCTCACAGATAGTCTGGGGGATCATTGGTGGCCTACTCGCGGGCTGGGACCGGACCCGCCAACTGACCCGGTTATCTACCGGTTGCACGAGGTGAGTAGTTTGAGGTAGAAAACGCAGAAATTTAGCCTGACACATCGGATGGGACTGTAGGGTGTGCTAGTTTATGGGTATCCCATCAAAGTGAGTGATCTTAGTTGCTTAATGGAAGGACCTTGTCGAGCATTTTCCCACAATCTAGGCTGTGATTCATGAGAAGGTAAATCCAGCGATACTATTATCAGGCCTATGATCTAACTTCGGCGATACACCAGTTCGGAGACGGCATTATGTCCCTCATCGACTGTCATGTCACAGTTGACCGAAAGCCGCATGAAAAGGGAGACCGAGTGGTATTGACATTTGAGTGAGTCTAATATTAACCTTTACCAAGGGCCTTTTTAACGTCTTTCCCCACCCTACAGCGGCAAGTTCTTGCCTTACGCCAAGTGGTGACACATTGAGTGAACAAATGAAGGCCCAAATTCGTCACTGTTGCACACGATAACTTGATATTCATGTAATTAGAAACCTGTTAAACCAGATCACTTAACCTGCTCGCTGTGTGGTATACAGTACAAATGCAATGCAAATCCTCGGAGCTCTGCCTTTCCCCATGAACCACATTGTCAACCCTCCACGATCGCTCGCTCGGCTTCAAATATCAGTAATCTCCTTCTTGATCTTGACGAACAAGCACCCGTTTTCGCTCAATTTGCCATGCAAGTCGAACAACCGGATGAACCGATATCCTTCCTGCAGCCTATCAACCCGCACACACGCCCATGCGGCCAGATCATCTGTCCCGAATTCTTCATCCTTAACCAAGAACCTTCCAAACGGCCGTTAATGTAACTCAGGCCAGTCCCATACGTAGCGACCATACCTTACGAAAGACGCAGCAGGAACAATTCCCGTCGCTTTGAGTACAATCTCTGGTGGGTCGCTTGACCCAAGCCCGAGCGTTCCGCGTTCCTCCCACACTACATCTGCTCCACGTAGCGCCTTGGTCTTCCCAGTTACACCATCCTCAGGCAGGCCATCCGCGAGAAGTTGAAGCTCCACATACCTGCAAGCGCATAATACAAAGTCAGAAGAACTTAGACCAACAAATGACACAGACGTACGGTTCGAAGCCCTGTGCGCCGTCCCGATGCTTCATCCGTTTGAAAAATCCTTTAATCTTCTCGCTCTTCCTAGCCTTCTTTTCTCCACCTGACTCCTCGCCCCCGCTCGCGTACGCACCAGTTCCAGAACCAGTCGCGCTAACAGCACTCCCGCTCCTCGAATGACCTTGCTGCTTTGCCTTCTCTTCCTTGGCTTTATACTTGGCCATCCGGTCTGCCTCATCCTCTGCCTCGTCTTCTGGAAGTGGCATGGACTGTCCTGCGAGGACGGTAAACCGTAAGATAACTGATCGCTTTTCTTCGCGCGCTCGGACACCAGTATGAGTTATATCTCGACGGCCGGGAGGTTTGAGCACGTAGCCGCCTGTTTTGGCGAACCTGTGGCATGGTTGCAAAAGGAAAGAAATAGGACAATGGAGAGAAAAGAAGATAGAAAGAATAGCGTGCGGGGTGAGTATATGCGTTAATAGCAAGTTTAGAGCTGGGTTAGTGAGCGAGACTTACATAGCTTCATTTAACATCATGCCCTACAAACGTAAACAGCATTTAATTACAGCAAACCGGCAGCGGTTGAAACCTACTCACAAGGTCAACCTTTTGCCAATTCAAGGCCACCAGCTGGACCCCACGGGACCAAAACACAGTCGGGTTCAAGTTTGAGGAGCCGAACCTACAGTAAGAAGAGGGCAGTCAGAGGCTCGTAACGTTTTCAGCCGGGGTGGGATTCTTGGCCAAAATGAGAATAACGCACCGGAGTCCAAACGGATAGGCACGCATGAGGAAGTGGACGTTGTGGGCGAAAAGTGCGTCGCGGCTGGCCTTATTCATCTTGTCGAAGGCGGTCTCGGAGAAGGAGAATATATGATTTGAAGGGAGTGTACCTGGTTGTATGCGTGATATGAGCGACGTTCGACGAGCGGACCGGTTGAACGGCTACGTAGGATTATACGAGACCGGACCAGTCTTGAATGCTGGGAGGAAACTCACTTGCTTGCTGCCAGTCTTTAAAACTATGGCTCGAAACATATATTCCGAGATCCGCAAGTGCCCGAATTACTTTGCTCTTCTTGGGTTTGTTCTTGGATGCAGCGACGGCAGCCTCTTTCATTTCTTCGTCTTCGGACGAATCATCGTCTGATTCTTCTGGCTTGGAGGGTTTAGCTGCAGAAGTGGGCTTGGGGGTTGGGGTATCCTCGGTAGGGGGGAGATGTTTGACCTAGGTATAGGTTGAGTATGACGCAAAAGCAGGATGAGTAGCACAAACATACTTTGACTATGATTCGGTGACGCAATGCATCTGGTGAGGGAAGTTCCTTGTCACTAACATGTTGAGGGAGTCGCTCCGTTACAAGATAGTTGGACCACTCCGTCTTCATAGTATCTACAATTTTTTCTTGCTGAATTCGCTGGTAAGTACACACCATTAAGTACGCGCAGACCGCGCACCTGAGTATGACCCGCGTGTACCTCCAAGCTAACAATGACCGGCAAGTCGGACGCGATGAACGCGGACTCCCGAATTGCGCGACAGACCTCCCGGAAGGGAACCTCTTTAGTCAAAGTATACCCATGGAAGACTGCCGGTTCGCCTGTCTCGCCGTCCCAAACATCGATCTCGACAGACCGGCAACCTCGTCGAAGGACATTGCGATACCCCTCAACGGTCGAAGCGCCGTACAACTGATGCCCAACAAGATAGGTATTATGTGACGAAGAGATGTAGTACTCGTTCAGTGGGCGGGTCTCGTCTTCGGGCACCGCAGCAATAGCGTCGTTGGCTGTGGAAGCAAGGTACGCGCTAAACTCGGTCTTGTCGATCCCATCCTTGTCGCTCAGCAGCTTATCCACAGCCGAAGGGCTCAGTGTGCGCTGCATCCATGCTTTAAACCCCACATCATCGACACAGTTCTCTCCTTGTACACCCAAAAACGCGCGCAACTGCTTTGCGTCGAGAATGTGTCCCGAGCAGTGAGCCTTGAAGACCCGGTCAACTTGCTCCTGTAACCCTGGATGAGTGATCACTAGAGGCCGAGACTGTTCTTGTCCGCCTCCTGCATCTGTCTTCACTGTCGCTCGCTGGCTGTTGTCCACGGGGTTGTCTGGCATCTTCGTTGCGCGTTATGCCCTTGTCGTCGGCCTGCCTAGCCATTTCCATGCCATGTTGACGTCAACATCACGTGTGCTGTCATTGTTATCGTAAACGCGCACAGCCTATAATCTCCGCGCATATATCCAAGCAGACATATGCACCGCCGGCCCACAGACATGCCTCGCCTCTTGGTGCAGTCGACTACCAAATATCTAAGCATCAAAGGCCAGAAGACGTCTGCCACCATGGAAAGTCTTTGGGTTGACTTGTAGGAAGACTTCCAGGCTTCAACCACATAGCCCCTGGTAAGGAGTTTGCGTTCATCTTCGTTTTCGCGGGCTTGACCTCACTGTGACTCTGTTGCGGTGGAACACGGCAGGAGAAACCAGGCTCTTATCATTCAAGTGCTCAATTACGTAGAGCTACATATACAGATACAGATCAGTCATTACACGGAAATGGCCATAACATGGCTGTCTTGAAACGAGCCCACTGCTCCTTTAGATTCCCGGGCACTCATGCTTCCGGATATGCAGCCTTGATAATATCAGCCGCTTTTTCTCCAACTGCGAGCGCGGGTGCCGTCTATGCCCAAACATGAATTAGCACGGCTCTCAAACACCAATATGCGGGTGAAACCAAGATACGAACCGTGTGTCCAGACGTAATTGTAGGGAAAACACTACAATCAACAACCCTTAGTTTCTCTAATCCGTAAACTCTTAAATGTGCATCCACAACGGCTCCGATACGTGCGGTACTCGTCGGGTGGTACAAGGTATCAGCGCGGGCATGAACCTCTCTAGCGAGTGTTTCGTCATCCGCATCTAGTAGGTTGTGGTCGAGACCCGGTGTCCGGTCGCCCTGATCGATGACGCTTCGCAGAGGCTCTGTTTGGACAAGGCGGAGCATCGCACGCATACCCCTC